TGGTCTCGGCATGGTTCATCTGAAGACCATCCCAATGATCCATCTTCCAGTTTCCCCAGTACTGGTGTCATGCCCAATGAATTGAAACTGTGTTCTCTCACACTCTTTTCTGAGTAACCCACATCACTGTCCAATCTTATTTACCTGTGCCAATTTGTTTGTGGCTAAGATACGAATCCAGAGAATTTTTTTCTTTTTAAGTTTTGCTTTTTAATTTAAACTTTAGCTGCTCATACTCCTTCAGCAGAACCTCTCACCCAGTTCTGTCTATGTCATTAGTACTAGCATGACCATGTCTTCTGGATTCATCACTTCCCACTCAAGTTAATCTTCAACACAGAGAAAATGACCCTGGCACCTAGTAGACAACACGTGCATCTAGAATTTTATTCTTGACTACGCAGAATAATGCCTGTCCCCCTGACTGTGCTGTCCCTTACTGCCATTACATTCCTACTAAATCACCCTGCTTGAATGGCTTCCTGTAATATAGTGCCATGGTCAATTTGTTTACCCACTCTACAACCATTGTTCTCATCTATACAGGCTACAAAAGCCTCAAACCTTTTGGACATTGCAAGGGCTAAAGCTCTTCCGTTTATACCTTCTGGGTCCGCATGCTTGCCTCGCTCCCAGTCATGCTGTCCTGTCTCAGATCCCTTATCAAATCTGAAGGACCTATCCTAAGAAATTGCTTCCTAGAACAAAGCAGTGAGTTAATTTTCTCCCTCCCTGAAATGTCTGTGTCTGCAACCTGATGTCCAGGTCAATGATTGAACTCTTCAAGCCAGAGACTCTGCTGATGTGGTTGGCCTGGATCATATTGGCATCCAGAAGCTCCCACATCCTGCAGTTGCAACACATCACCTACCCTGACATCTTTATTTTGATTTAATTAAGGATTTTTTTTTCTTAATTTGTACCTAATAAACACTTCCATAAAACTTTATCACTGCTCGCAAAATTTACCAGTAATAAAATTGTACAATCACTAATAAATTATACAGGTTTCAAAAGCAAACAATCAAAATACTGATCAAGAAATCGCTTATTTGATTTGTTACGATTGCATGCTTGAATCTTTTCCATTCGCATACATCCCTTAGACTGAATAGAATAGCTTTCCACTGCTTACTGTCCTGTTTTTGAACCTGCTGCCTCCTCTCTTGGCTTTGGCTTTACAAAACACTTCACTCTGTAATCCTCTTCGTGAAGTATAACACCATTGGTAGTAAGGACTGTGGAAGAGATCGCTACCAGTCATTCACAATGACAACAATTTATCCAACAAAGTACATCACACTGAGTCATAATGCCTTAATGATAAGAGAGAGGGATGGCAGAGAAAGAAAATAAATGAAGCAATCCTGCATTCCAGATCCCATTGCCTCATGAAACATCCTGGTCAACCATCTGTGGGTAAAGAATTCTCTTTTTCAGAGACATGAAAGCCTACAGCAGAAGTGCATGTCTTTCAGAAGGACAACCAAAGACTAGGAGAATTGGATGAAGAATATTAGGTGGAATGCCTACATTTATTGCCTCTTTTGAATGTTCTCAAACTGAACTCAGATTGTACACGATAGATGAAGTGAGAGAAATTTTTCAGGATTTTAGTTGGATATTCATCAGAGTGAATCATTTTTAGAAAATTATTCCTTGCAATATCTGGATGTAAGGTCAAGGGGAATATATCAGAAAGTAGAGCCCAGATGACTTTGTATGGGGAAAACAAAGTTTTGTTGTTGTATTTCTGTTGTTTAGCTCTACCTTCAGAAACCTCCAAAGTGCAGGTTGAACAAAGCTATGTGATCAGGTTACAATCACCGTTAGCAATTATTCAAAATTGTCTTAAAAACTGGAAGAAGAAGATCAGAACCAACGAAAATCTTCCATGCAGAAGAATGTATGTCTTTAGTATCTGGTACAGTGGAGTTGAGCTGTAAACTTTATAAGATTTCACACTTCCACTGATGTGTATCTTACCTCCTTGTGGGACTTTTGGAAAATTTTAGTTTCTCCACAAGGTTTGAATTTATATTTGATTTGGATTATCAGGTTCTATTTGCTCCCAGAGCAGCAGGATGGTGATTGTAATAATTTGAGGAATTTTTGGGCATATGAGTGCTAGCATGAGGGCTTAGTGGCTGAGCTAGGCTATAGTACAATTAGTAGAAAGGTTCCTTGAAACTGGAAGAGGAGAGATACGGACATACCTTAGAATGTGCTGTGTAGATTTGGCCTTTTAAGCCTTTATTAATTTCTTGTATTGTTACAATGTCCAGTTTCAGATTGAAACAACTGATTTTGATATCTGGAGCAGATTGTTCACTTATGTGGTAATTGCCAAAGATACTTTTTTAAAAATAATTCAACATTCTTCTAAAACTCAGTGCAATAAATGCTATTGAAAATCAATTTGTGGTTATGTGCCTCAAGGATGGGCTGATACATGATTTGGATGCCCAGGATAGATGTACAACCAAGAAACAGCAGCAAGAGAGAGACCCAGGAAGGCAGCAGCTACTGAAATGAGAGTGAGGTTAGAACCTTCATTTCCAGCAGTTTCTGGTTTGTCATGTAAATAAGACAGCTGCTGCCCTCCCTTTACCATTCAAGGGTAAAACTTGTTCTCATTAATTTCTCCCAAGGTTAGTGTGCAACTCCACTGATATGTTCACGTATAGAAAGACAGTCCAGCTATCTTAAAATATCTGGACATTATGCTTCCTTGCCTGACTTATATTCTGTTGGGATTTATTATGGTTCTTGTTCATATTGCTACTTTTGGGACCAAATGTATCGAAGTACTGCTTGTTAGTGAGAATGTTAAAATTCTATTTGTAAGAAGCCTACCTGTTTGTATTGCATTCTTATAATTTTCTCAAGTACAATAATCATCTTGTTCTTGGTAAGCCATTGTTGTCCTTTCTAGAATTGATCATTTTGCTACTTTTCCTCCTTTTGAATTGATGGAGACACAACTAAGGAATAATATCATAATATACAAATACTTTCCTGAGATAATTTTATTATAAAGTGACCCAAAAGATTAACATCAAATTGACTGGGAATATTCTATGTATGATATGAACTGTGTTGAGAAATTTGGGATATTTGAGTGAGTGGCCCATCATGTCCAGTCTCAATGTCTAATGTCTCAACCGAAAAGTCTAACTTTCCAAACAAATCCAAAACGTCATAATGAGATTCTCATATTGAGTACGAGAGGCGTATTAGCATAGGCTATTGATCATTATCACCTTCATTAGTACTTAATCTTGCCTCAATAGTTTCCCTACCAGATAGAAACTAGAATTCCAGAAATGAACTTCCAGCTAGCCACTTGCTCCTTAGTTCTCCATCTTGGGTACTGGTCACCAGGATCTGTGGGCACACTTCATGGGCAGTTACCGCATGCGGCCATGTCCATGAATGATGGCATCTGACACCAGTGTCTCTCTCAGCAATGCTGTTTCGGGACACTTTGCAACCGGAGGCAATGCACCCATTTCATGGCTTCAACCAGAGTGCTCTCCAAGCTCCTCACTTGCTTGCGCTCTCAGTGCTCACTCATTTTGCTCCTACTTGGATGCTGATATCATTCCTACTTTGCCTTGCATTGCCTTCCCTTCCCTTCTTGCACTGTTTTGTCTCAGCCATTGCAAACAGTCTGACAGGACCCATATCTCGACTTGACTTTTAGTGCAGTCATAACATCAGGCAGCTTGTCCTTGGATGCCAGCAGTTCTCAGTCACTGGGGTGGCCGTATTGCTGTAGCACTGTGCTAAAGGTGCTGCATGTGCTTCAAACAAATAACCATGTCTCAAAGTCTAAGGGGAGTACTTCAGTCAAGTCCAGGGAGGTACCCTTCAAGCAGCGTCCTGGCACAGTAAGGATATCAGCTGATATCAGTACAGGAGTTTAGGTTTCTGGTCATGCATGATTACAGTCATGATCCTATTAAAAAAAAAACAGGCCAAAGAGCTGAATGTCAGGCACGGCATACCTATCTTGGCGCGCTCTCGGTTATTTTTAACCTGGAATAAGATTGAGGGAGGGATTGAATGTGATGAAAGTGGCTGCCACACCTATTAGTGCTGATATAAGTGGAGGAAAGGTGAAACGTCCTGAGGGAGTGATAGGCAGCACAGAGGGCATACAAGGTTGGATGCCTTGGGGAAGTGGGAAGGTGAGAGTGAATGAGAGATGTTGCATGTGACAGTGAGAGTGGTAGACTATGAGCCTTGGTGGGAGGTGGGATCAGTAGCAGGGATGGTGAGTGTGAGGTAGCAGAGAGATGATGGTATTTACTTCGCCTGACAGGAGAAGGTCACTGACCTCCTTTTGGCATTGCTCAGCATTCCTCCAGATGGTTAAGACAATGCTGAAATAGGCACCAAGCTGGCAGTCTAGCCTCAAGGTGAATACTTCTGCCCACAGCAAGTGGAAGATTTCAGGCTAGCTTTGGATGAGAGGGACAGCCTAAGGCTCTGGTATCTAGTTAATGAGTTGAGTTTGAGATGTTGGAATGAGAAAATCGTGCTAAGCCTTGCAGAGAGAAGCTCTCCATGAAACTCATTGAAAAATGGCATGTAGCTGATTTCTGTTAAGATTCAGCCCATCATATCTGTATGCAACAATGGTTCTATTTCTTTGGAATTTGTTCTTTCAGGCTGTGATTGTCATCTCATGAGAATTAGTTCCTGTTCTTTATGGGAAATCATATTAGCAGTGTTGCGAAAATGATTCTTAAACATCTTGGAGAGAGTTGGTCACTACCTAAAGATAGTCATGATTGTAAAAGTGCTTGAAGATCATTATGGATACACTTTGTCTCATGAATTGAACCGTAACAACAGTGTAACCCTGCTTATATATCCACAAAATAATCAATGAAGTTGCCTTCCTTTATACGCTACATTGTGTTGTGTTTTCTCAAAACACTTCTTTAGTTGCATTTGATTTTATAAACTTCTGGTTCAAAATGTTACCCTAGATGCTTGGAAGAAGGTAACATAGAGGCTGCAGAAGCTCAGAAAGAAAGAATTGAACAACTTCAAAGAGAAAGGAGGAGAATTCTTGAAGAAAACAACATGACACATCAACCTCAATTTTTTAGGTATGTTAGCCAGTTTGAGTGCGTGTAAATTACGCTTGTATTATTTTTCAATTTATCCTTAGCATTAACAACAGAATATATTATCACAAGATCTCCTTGATATTATTGCTAAACTGAGGCCACTTTATAATTTAGAAAGAATATAGTACATTGCTTTTTCCTTGATAATTAAAAATTATGCTCTGTATGAACCAAAAAGAATGTTAAATTTTAATCATAGCCAATTGTCATGATTATGAAAGCCACATTTATTTGGATAGAAATCTCAACAGATTAACTTGTTCAACAAAGTTTCTGTCTCCTGATCTAATGAAGATATTTCATCCATTTTAAAGAAGCTAGTTAAAGACTTGGTCAAAATATTGGGTAAAGTTAATTCATGTTCACATGAGCAATGCCACAGTTCATACAGTTTGAACCCAGTTGAGTTGTCCTGAGCTGCACTTTCTTCAGTATCAAACTATGTCCAAATTAAAAACTTCAGTTGTAAGATGAGTAATTTGATGTGGTCTTATTAATACTGTTATCAAAAAAGAAGTATCACCTTATGATCAAATTACTTATTTACACAAAAACTTGCTGTTTTGGATTGTATGGACAAGAAGTTGTTCCTGCATTTCTATTCTGTACATGAATGATACAATCATTATGAAGTGCTTGAATATAAAAACGTTTATACTGTCTGTTTGAAAGCAACAGTTTTGGTTGTTGTGGCAAAGAAAATTTGTGAAATTTTCTATTGATTCTTTGATCAAATTTATTAAAGTATTTCTCATATGCTTAGATTTTAAATAGGTCTTTATTCTCTGGATGTAGATTTTGCAGGCCAAGCCATGTTAATGAAAGTGTGCCAGTGGTAGGCTTTGAATTATTACTGCCTTCCTTTACCTGCATCCTTGGAGCTTTCACAGTTTTATTTTTTCAAAATGCTGCCAGAACATTATTTTTTCCCCAGCAACAGCATACAACTGTCCCCATATGCCTAAATTAGAATGGTGTACTTCCATGATGTTGCTGCTACTTTCCTTCTCGGTGGTAGAGAGACATGAAGGTGCTGCTTTCACAGTACATCAGGAGACAGTATATTTTCACAAGCCAAAGTGGATCAGTGCTGCGCTGGTGAAAATTCAGTTCAATAGTGTAAGAAGGATGAGTGTGTGCCACTTGGCCAATTGAGTCTGCCCCACTATTCAGTAAGATCATGGATTAATTCTACCTTGATTTGAATCCTGCCTTCTCCCCATAATCATAACCCTTGTCAATCCAAGATCTGTCCAACTGTTGTCTTGAATTTATTCAATGACCCAGGCTCCACTGTTTTGCAGAGTAGAGAATTCCAAAGATTAATAACTCCTTGGAAAAAGAAATTCCTACTCCCCTCCATCTTAGTTGGGGCACCTTTTATTTTGAAACAGTGCTCCTAATTCTACGTCCACATCCTCTGTGTCTATCCTAAGAAACTCCCTGAAAATCTTGTGATTCACTCAGATCTCCTCTCACTTGGCTAAATTCCAGTGAGTGTATAGGATTAACTAGCTCAGCCTTTCTTCGGAAACTGCTTCAACCTAAGAAACAGCATTGTGCACCTTCCCTGAATACCTCCAAGTGATGGAAGTACGTACATCAGTCCATAATGAAGGAGACAAAAAACATACTCTTAGTGTGGTCTCAGCAATGCCATGTATGGTTATAACAAAGCCTCTGTATTCCTTTGCAGTTAAGGTCAACATTCCATTTGCCTTCCTTATCACTGCTCCCTGCTTGTTATGTGTGAGGACAGCCAGACCACTTAGAATGAAAGCATTTTGCAGTTTCTCTCCATTACAATAGTATTTCAATATTTTGTTCTTCTCACCAAAATGGACAGCATCATATTTTCCCCATGGAAATATATTGCCAAACTTTTACCAATTAATTTAACTTAACTATGTAGCCCTTTGCCGACATTTACTCATAACTTGCTTTCCCTTCTATCTTTGTACCATCAGCAAATTTAGCTATAATACAAACTGTTCCTCTGTCCATGTTATTAATGTAAATTATAAATAGTCGAGTTCCAGCACTAATCTTGATGGCATACCGCTAGTTAGTTTGCCAACTTGAAAATGATATTTATCTTGATTCTCTGTTCCCTCGTATTCAGTCAGTCCTTCAATCCATGCTAACTCCATCCATCATCATGAGCTGCTCTTACCTTAGGCAGGAGCTTTTCATGTAACACCTTATTATTTGTCTTTTGAAAATCTCAATACACTGCTTCTACTGGTTTCCCTCTACCCACCCTGCTTGTTACATCCTCCAAGAATTGCATTAGATTTATCAAATATGATTTCCCTTCTCCAAAATCATGTTGGTTCTACATGACTGTTTTATGATTTTCTAAATGTGCTGCTGCTACTTCCTTATTAATGGATTGCAGCATTTTCTTAATGACACACGTTAGGCTGACAGTTTTTTTTTTGCTTCTGTTCCCCTTCTGTCTAAAATATAGGTTTAATATTTACAGTTTTCCAATCTCTCTGGGAGTCTTTCCAAAATCTAGGGAATTTGGGAAAATCCCAGCCATTACAATTCCAGCATTTCTGCAGCCTCTTCTGTCAGACTCTGGGATGCTAGTTATTAGGTCGAGGGGACTCGTCAGCCTTTAGTCCCATTAATATTCCTAGTACTAATTCCTCCAGTGATAGTGATTGTTTAAGATTCCTCCTTCCATTTGTCCCATGATATTTCTTTACTGTGCTGACAATTCTTGGAGTGTCTTGTTCTGTAAAAACAAATGCAAAATACTTAGACATCTAGATGAATAGTGAATACTCCACTCTGCTCTTGTCCTGAACATTGTGAATAGTAAGAGACGTCCAGGGGTCAAGGGGAAGTCACTCATCACAGATTACTTAGTATCTGTCCTGCTTTTGTAGGTATAGTGTTGATATTGATGGTCCAGTAAAAGGTCTGGTCACTGGTAACCCCTGGATTCTGGTAGAGGAAGGATGGAATGGTGTGGTTGAAAATTTGGAGGGTGGATGCAGGGTTGTGTTTTTATTGGTGATGATGATTACCTGGCAGCTAATGTGGCATGGATATTATTTGCCACATATCAGGGTAAGCCTAGATATGGCATAGTCTTAGTGTTAGGCTGCTTTGTTAACTACATGACAACAAGGTGCAGGGCTGGATGAACACAGCAGGCCAAGCAGCGTCATAGGAGCAGAGAGGCTATGATGCTGCTTGGCCTGCTGTGTTCATCCAGCCCTGCACCTTGTTGTCTCGGATTCTCCAGCATCTGCAGTTCCTACTATCTTTGTTAACTACGTGTTGTGCATGGATTTAAAAACTAGAATAATTTGTGAAGAACTTTATCTTATGACAGAAAAGGTCCTTGATAATGCAACTGAAGATGTTTAGTAATGTGAGTATCTGTGTATAAATATATGGAGTATGTATTATAGGTAATGGTAATGAAAAAGGATTAGAAAATGTGATGAGCTGCACCTTTTTGTTGCTGATCACCTGGACCATCTCATGATTCAGTTTGCTGTTCCATATCTACCCTAATTCTGTTCTACTTAACAGCAGTAGCGTTACAATGAATGTCTTCTTAGTGTTCATTTTCTTGATGGTTACCCATCACTACCAGATTTATTGGAATCTGCTTTTGAATCTGAATAGGATTTGAACATATGGTTACTAGTTTAAGTGTGTAACAGGCCACTATTCCCTAATAATGCATATATTTCTATGTGCTGTTCAATTGTAATACTTTGAGAAGGCAATTCAAAGTGTCTTACTTACAGACAATCTTGCGAAGGTGGAGAGGACATGTGGGTGAGCACGGGGACCTACTGGGAACTTCGGAAAGATCCAGGCTTCGACAAGCTTGACAGTCTAATACTTTGGTGACACTGTAACACTTTTTGTTTCATTCTGTGTTTCATGGGTATCATCATTTATTTATTACTAATATATCTGTACCATCTTCATTTGGTAATCTTCAAATATATGTGGTTATTTTTCAATTTATTCTTTTTAAATTTGTAAAGATATGAAAACTTATCTCTTACTGACTTAATGCCTTAAACTGTAGAATATAAAACCTGTGCAATCTTTGCTTCAAATAGCACTTTAAGCAGTGCAGAGTTTGATTATTTACAAGAAACAAAGCACAAACAGTAGATGCATAATATATAAGTATTTATTGCTTGCAAAGAGAATGATCACATGTTCCTCTATAAACTAGTATCTCAAGATGCTATTGTGTTGTTCCTTTTACGAAGGCACATTGTATACTTCCAATATTGACCTTATTCCAAGCAAAATACAGAATCATTGAATGGCAGTGGCATGTATTCAAGGTACTTTAATAGTCAGGTGTATCTATTATTTTAATGTACCTGCTTTTAAAATAGAACACTCTAAGATCCTTCAAATAAAGCATTTCTACAGTAAAAATTTGTCACTAAGACCAGGAACCTTCTGCTACATTCAGACCAAATGCTGACATCAGCATAAAACTACATTTAAAACTTTTTTTCTTGGTCTTGCTGCCTGTTTCCTTCCCTGCCCTCACCAATGTGGGAAAAAATGTGCCTGAGCTTATGGAAGAATGTTGATAAGCCAAAAGGAAGCTTGAATGCAAGCAATTTTAACCCTTTCCTAGTAACTGGAAACTGGTACAAATTTTGAACCTATGTCTATTTTTAACCCTGGAGGAAACATGAATCTTGCCCCAACAAAATCTTGTCAAATGAGTGGAAAAAAATTTTAAACTACCTAATTATGATTTGCTGAATACGTACCCAGTTTAAGGAATGTCAACCATCCATGAATATAGAGGTGTAACTGTTGGATTTTTTTTCACAATTTTTCCTGTGTCTACTACAGCTCAGTTGGTAGCACTCTCATCTCTGAGCCTCATGATTCCATGTTAAGGTCCCTCTCCTTGTCTTGAATCCACAACAACAAAGGCTAACACCCCATAGCGTTGCTGAGGGAGCACTACCTTGTCATTCAGATTAAACATTATAACTGAGGCTCCATGTGCCTGTACAGGTGGATGTAAAAGGTCCCATGGCACTATTTTGCAGAAGAGCGGGAGTGTTATCTCTACTGTCCAGGCCAATATCTATTGCTCAATCAATATCCTTAAAACAGGGCATCATTACATTGTTAGCCACATTCACATTTTAAAAAATGTTGGTAGAGTTTGGTTATTAGCCTATGACACAACCTAAGGAGAAACACACATTTTCGTAGATATTTCTACTTGATCACAATAGCTAGTCTTTAATACGTTGATGTACAATTGATCCTATATCAAGTATTAATTTGTCTGTTACAGCACATGAAGTAGGCCGTGGGAAGCTGTTGATAGGTTTCACCATTCTAAAAATTTTCAGGTTTTTTTTGTACACATGCTACCTCTGTCAATAAAGCAAATAATTTTATCTTGTCCAGCTCTTAATGCTGCATGTGAATCCTTTTGCCTTAAGTTAAATCACTCCAAGAGAAAAACGTGGCCTTTTTGATCTGATGACAGGACAATCCTCAAGCCACAAACTTGTCAGAAGGGGAAACTGCTTCCATCTATCATCTATATCTTCCTGTCATGTTAGCTGTGAACTGACCTGCAATTTATTGTCAGCAAGATGGTAGCAATGGCAATCACATAATTTGCTGGCAAGATTTGTACTGTAATTGGGGCGAATTTGTTTTACCTTATTCCACTCAGCCTGCTTTGGTTTCTCTTTCCCACTCTTCAAAGACAGAATGATAGTATGCGGTAACTTTGTGTAAAATGTCATCTAGTGGCAGGTCAGTTTAAGTTTATTGTGCCTCCAGCACTCTTATGTAAAATGGGCTTCAATGGGAGGTATGAAACATTTAAGTCAAGAACTACTAATTGCATTTAAAGAAATGAAATGAAAGTTTTCTTTGGTGTTTAATTGCATATTGTCTCCTTTCTGTTCCGTGCCATTAAAGTACAACACCTTTTCAAAAATACAGCTATTTACAGTGTGTTGAACGAGCTGAAATGTGCAGTTGAAACTGATACTTTGAGTGCATTGATGCAAACAGCTTTTGTATATGTGTAGTTTTTTATGTTTACATATGCTGCTGCTTTTCTCCATTTTATGTTGTTGAATCATCTACAAGATAGGAAATGATTTTCTAACCGATGAATATTACGCCGCAGCTGTACAGCGCTACAACTTTGAGGAAACCACAGTTTGGCAGTTTCTACTATTCTCTATTTGCCTATCAAAGGATTGTTATAAAGCTTCATTAAAGGAGAATTCAGAATATTAATCTAAGTGCGTGAAATTAAATAACTGTTCCAGGTAGTTAATTTTAAAATGTTTCTGATGAGTCTATTTGTTGTCATTAGTAACCCTGCAATTGATTGTAACAAATCACCTGAGATCAGTTAGGTGATCACTCACCCTTGCCACTCCACTACATCCAAATGTACTTGTATAGCTGAATTCTTTAAATAGGATTAGTACTTCTAAACACAGTGTGTCACTTTCTAAGCAACATTAGTTATCAGAGACAACAAGGTGCAGAGCTGGATGAACACAGCAGGCCAAGCAGCATCATAGGAGCAGAAAGGCTGAC